GGAGGCTGGAGAAACTGATCTCATTCGGTCAATTAGATGGGTCCATTGCAGAGGGGATGCCAGCCACAATTGCCACACTGCCCATCCAGCTCACTATAGGGGATCACGTAGAGACTATAACGTTTGTAGTGACCCCTGGCATGGAGTGCCCCCTTATTCTGGGCATGGCATGACTAACCAAGTGGAACCCGCAGGTGGACTGGAGGACAGGAAAGCTCAGATTCCCAGACACAAATGCAGCAAGAACCCCGACTTAGCCCCGAAACAGAAGAAGCCCCTCCAAAAGAGCAGTGGTGTGGGGAGAAAAGGAGTTACAAGACATCCCAGAGGAATACATGGACTTAGCTGAAGTATTGTGAGGAGAAATCTGATGAACTGCCCCCCCAGTGGCCCACAGACAGCTCTATCAAAAGCCTCCCAGTGGCGAAGTTACCCAAGCTGCAACTGTATTCTATGAGCTCACAGGAGCTAGAGGAAATGCAGAAATTCATAGACAAAAACCTGGAAAGGAGTTTTATCCAATTGGCAAAGCCAAAGACTGCAGCCCCCTTATTATTTCGAGAAAAGAAGGACGGGCCTCTTCACCTCTGCGTGGATATAGATCTCTGAACCCAATGAGTGAGAGCAACCTATATCCCCTCCCTCTCATGAAAGAATGCTAGCCCACCTGTCGAAAGGAAAAATCTTTTTGAAACTGGACTTAAGGGAGGCATATTACAGGATTAGGATTAAAGAGGGAGACAAATGGAAGACAGCTTTCAATTGCCCCTTAGGATGTTACCAATTCAGGGTTTTGTCTTTCAGCCTTCAAGGGGCACCCACAGTATTCATGCAATTAATAAATGATGTGCTCCGGGAACACCTGTTTAAAGGGGTGCTTGTTTACCTGGGCGATATCCTGACATTCACTGAAACAATGGAAGAACATGTGAAGTTAGTCAGAGCTGTACTGAAAAAACTCCAGGCAGCTCACTTGTATGCCAAACTATCTAAATGTGAGTTCCCCAAGGAAAAAATTGACTATATGGGGTATTGTATCTTGCCAAATGGCGTAGAAATGGACCCTGGGAAAGTCCAAGCGGTACTAGAATGAGCTCCGCCCTGCAATTGCAAAGCTTCCTTGGATTTGCTAATTTTTACCGGCAATTCATCCCCTCCTTTGCACAGATCGTGCTGCCAATTACTAACTTGCTTAAGACCAAGGGGGAGGAAAAGCTGAAATCAAGCCAGACATTGAAATGGACGGTAGAATGTCAAACCACATTTGAAAGGTTTAAAAAACTATTTTCCTCAGAACCAGTTTTAAGGCACCCTGACACTGAGAAACCTTTCATGATCCAGGCCAATGCTAGCAATGTGGCTGTGAGGGCAGTACTATTACAGGAAAATGATGAAGGGAATTTGCAGCTTTGAACATATACATCAAGGAAACTCATGGAAACAAAGCAAAGAAGGGCAGTTTGGGAGAAGGAAGCATATGTGGTGCGATGGGCTCTTCTTACCTGGAGGCATTTCCTGGAGGGGAGCAAAATTCCTTTCCAGGTGTGGACTGACCACAAGAACCTGGAAGGATTAAAAACACCCAGGAAACTAACCCTATAAACAAGCGAGATGGTTGCAGCATTTCCACCAGTTTAACTTCACTTTAAAACATTTGCCAGGAGGAAAGAATTTGTTAGTGGATGCATTGTCCAGACTGCCCAATACAATAGCAACAGAATAGAGATAACAGACCCACTTATGCCATCAAAGCAATTAGCAGCTCAAGTCACCAACCGAGCACAAGCCAAACTCCAGAAGCCTCTAGCGAGCCAAGCAGGGATTGAATTAAAAAAACCACTAGAAACCGACGAATGGTTTCTAAGCCACAAGAACCTATGCACAATGATTGATAGCTTACCATGGGTGGGAGGGAAGCTATACATCCCAAAAAACCAGAGACTGACATTCATGCGACTATGCCATGACTCTAAATCAGCTGGTCATTTCAGATTCGTAAAAACTTTATACCTGGTGAAAAGATAATTTTGGTGGCCATCAATAAAAAAGGACATTGAAAGTTACGTGGCAAGTTGTCCAATCTATGCTGCCACTAAGATAATAAGAAAAGACCCCCAGGCTTATTGCAACCAGTAGAAACCCCATCAGTGCCTTGAAGGTAAATTTCTATGGATTTTATTGTGGAGTTACTGGAACTCAGTCATTTGGGTGAACACAGTCATTTGGGGGTAACGGACTTGTTCTCTACACAAGTACATTTTATCCCATGCCAAAAAATCCCCAGTGCAAAGACACTTGCAAAGCTATTCGTCCAACATATCTATTGACTTCATGGAGCCCCACAACAAATCATATCAGATAGAGGAGTACAGTCCACATCAGAGTTTTTGAGAACATTCTTAGGACTGTTGGGGACAACCCAGGAGTTGTCGTCTAGTCATCATCTGCAGACATATGGTGAGACTGAACGGTTGAACTCAGTACTGGAGCAGTACTTAAGATGTTTCATTAATTACCAACAAGACAGCTGGATCAACCTGCTCCCGTTCGCAGAAGTCACTTATAAAAATGCAGTACATTCCAGCATGGACTACATTCCAGCACAATTGCAAAATACCTGGCCAGTTGTGAGGAGGGCATTAGACAAAGCTAGGGAAGCATATAAAATCCAAGCAGATAAAAAACAGTGAATCCAAACCATTTACAGTAGGGGAGAAAGTTTATCTGTTAACAAAATACCTAAAATCCCTACAACCCTCAAAAAAAGCTAAGACCAAAATTTTTGGGATCTTTTCCCATTAAAAGAACATTAATCCTGTCACAGTGGAATTAGACCTCCCAAAGACACTCAGACAGGTTCACCCAATTTTCCACTGCAGTCTTTTAAAATGTGAACTGCAGTTGCCCTTAAGGACAGCTGCAGCTCCTACCCCTCCTTCAATTATGGTAGAAGGTGAACAACATTTTGAAATTAAAGAAATCCTAGACTCCAGAAAACATCATGGTTCCATCCAATATGTGGTAGTGTGGAAACACCTGCCACCTTCCCAGAACAAGTGGGTCCAGAAACATCATATTAGGACCTACCAACTCCTTAGAAATGTCATACTGTGTACCCGGATAAACAGGATTAATCCTTGTCTCCCTTTTTTCTGTTTTGTTTTCTACAGGTGGATCTCTCTTTCTTTTAAGGGGGGCAGGATGTCAGAATCCATTCTTTTTCCTGGGAGGGGGAAATCTATTTCATCTCTTTATTCTAGCTTACAGAGGGTTCTGCCATTCTCCTGAGGGGGAGGGGGGAAGGCTCTGTGGTATATTTCTCTGCTTTGCTACAATGTACCCTTTCCACTAATTCCGCAAACTTAGTCTTTGAACTGTCTCTCCCTTGATGTTATCTTGGGGGGAGAAAGGAATGTGCCTCCAGCCATCTGGCCTATCTTTTGCTGCAGAAGGGAAGGTGTGAAGACCCAACAACATCATCACAGGCATGGGAACGGACCCTGTTATCAGTTCCTTTCCCACTTAACACCATTCAAACTGACCAGATTAACTATTGGGGTGGGGTTTTCTTGGGACTCTTTTAACCTATTGATCTGAGTGGGAAACCCTCATATCCTGCCTATTATGCCTGCTATCAGCTTCTCTTAATAAAAGTTCCTTTTGGAAAGAAACTGTTCCAAGAGTCCTGCTTTCTTAGGATGCAGTTTTGAAGTGGGCCCTGACATTGCCCTGACAAGTGATCCTAGTACTCATTGGTGAACACTATAAGGATGACACCAGTATGACCATAGTGTATCTGAAAGAGATGGTGCGAGACAGAGGGGCTTGGAAAGTGCTGATCCAAAGAGTGGTCATGGGTCAGACATTACTGAGAGGCTGATGACAAAATGAATGAAGTCTAGTAGTAGTTTGTGTAGCCAAACTAATTCAAAGAAGATCACACAAAGATGAAATTCTGTATAGAAAAGTGTCACATCCAATATACCATAAAAGATATTTTCTATATATAGCAACCAGGCTATGCAGGCAGTGGTTTTCCTTATGACATTCTATGGAAGCAAAAGTTGAAGAAGCAGGATAGGAAGACTATTGATGCTTTTGAACTTTAGTTTGGTGTTGAAAAAGACTCATGAGAATACCATAGACAGCCAAAAAAGCAAAGAAGTGGATCATAAAATCAATCCAAAATTCTCACTCGAGGCATAAACACCTAGGCTCAAATTATCAAATTTTGAAAATATTATGTGAAAAACAAAGAAGGAAAGAAAAGAGGATGTCCAATAGCCAGATGGATAGGCTTGATTATATGGCAAATGGTATACCATTAGAACACTCAAAGGGCCTGGTTGGGGACAGATCATCCTGAAGAAAATCTGTCAATGTAGTCACTAAGAATGAAAAGCAATTTGATGGCACATAATCAAGTAATCAAATCCTGCAGGTGGGAAGAAAACATGGTGAAGCAAATTTATCCTAAAATGCTAGAGATTTTTCAACAATAATGTATATCTGTCAGAATTATATATATTTAACTCAAAAACATCTATACAAAATCTTTGACTTATGCATGTAAGACTTTCCTAGGAACATGTGCTCCTAGATCAAACATCCAAGTCAACTATTTTAACTTGGTGAAATGTAGTTGTTGAGATTTTCCTGTAACTTAAGAATTGGCACATATTCTTCAATTTATGAGGCAATAAAATATACAACATTATATATATATATTATTCAGAACATGGTACTTAAGCTTTGTCTGCCCTTAGAGAGAAACAAATTCATATTCTTTCCCATTGTCCCAAAGTCTTAAAGGTCTCAGTTACTCACTGTGGCAAGACTTGAGAGTTGTAATCTGATTGATACATTGATACAATGCATAGAAAACTAGAGCAATATAGAAATGACTCAGACAGCAAGGTGGATGCTAGGAATTCTTTATGAAGTGATATCTTCAGAAATGAAGTATGTCTTTAGAAAGGTAACTCTTTCCTTCTCTGTAGGAATAACCACTGTGCTGACAATGACCACCATTAGCACTCACCTCAGGGAAACCCTTCCCAAAATCCCATATGTGAAGGCAATTGACATCTACCTTATGGGCTGCTTTGTCTTTGTGTTCCTTGCTTTACTGGAATATGCATTTGTCAACTACACATTCTTTGGTAAAGGCCCTCAACATCAGAAGAAAGCAGCAGAAAAAGCCACGAATGAGAGGAAGAAAATGGAGATGAATAAAGTTCAGGTAACCAATTTTCTGAAAGTTGATATAATTTCCTGGACAAGCATGGTTGAAGCAGAAGATCATAACACTCCTAACAAGATAATTTGTTAGTGAATACATATTACAAATGTAAATATGCTTTATAAAGTGGCCTAATCCTCTTGGTTGGAAAATAATTTTTGGAAAAACAATTTTTGATTTAGATAATATGAAAGGATTCAGAATATTCAATAGTTCATCATGTCATTAATTAGTATATGATATTCGATAGTCAGTGATTTTAATACCAGTATTTATTGTTTAAATATTTCTCTCAAAATTAGCCTACAAATATATCTGTGCATTCCATACATCCATAAATATATGTATAAAGCAAAAACTTTAAAATTAGTGTGGAAAATCTATTGATCAACTTATACTGATTATCTGTTTTTATTGTATTATGGACCTTGCTATGAAACTTTACTTTTTGAGAGATACAAGAAATATCAAAGTAAAGTAAATAAAGAATCCAAGAAGATGCATGCACTTCAATGGTGAAAAAAGTAAGGTACTGCACATAGACAGGAAAAATCAAATGCACAGGTATAAAATAGACAGTACCTGGCTCAACAATAGTAACTGTGAGAGCGATGTAGGGGGTTCTAGTGGACAATAGCTTAAGTATTAGCCAGCACTGTGCTACAGCTGCCCAAAAAACCAATGTGGTCCTGGGCTGCAGCAATAGGGATAACATCAAGATCACAAGAAGTAATAATACCGCTCTATACTGTGATAGTGAGGCCACATTTGAAATATTGTATCCAATTCTGGTCACCATAATACAAAAAATGCTAAAAAAAAAAGCATCCAGAAAAAGATTCTAGAAAAAGTGCAGAGAAAAGCAACATAGACGATAAGAGTTCTGGAAACTAAATTGTTAGATGAATGATTACATGAACCAGGTATGTCTAATGAAGAGAACGACTAGGGGATGACATGATAGCAGCCTTATAATACTTGAAGGACTGTCACAGAGAAGAGGCAGTCCACCTATTTTCCAAAGCACCTGAGGACAGGACAGGAAGTAGAAGCAGAAGATCATTAAAAAGAGATCCAAGCAAAACTAAAGAGAGCAATTTATCAATGGAACGGCTTACCTCCATAAGCTGTGGGTGCCCCTTTACTGGATGTTTTCAAGGAGAGGTTGGACAGCCATTTGTCTCAAATAGTATAGTGTCTCCTTGAGCAGAGCATTGGATAGGATGGGATGGGATGGGATGGGATGGGATGGGATGGAATAGAGTAGAGTAGAGTAGAGTAGAGTAGAATAGAATAGAATAGAATAGAATAGAATAGAATAGAATAGAATAGAATAGAATAGAATAGAATAGAATAGAGCTGGAAGGGACCTTGGAGGTCTTCTAGTCCACCCCCTGCTCAAGCAGGAGAACCTGTACCATCTCAGTCAAGTGATTGTCCAGTCTCTTCTTAAAAATCTCCAGTGATGGAGCACCCATTGTTGAGTCCTTGAGTCAACGGTGAAAAAAGAGCACACATTCTGATGGTTCTAACAGCTTTTATTCTCTTCAGCTCTCTCCGACACAACTTGGAGGCTCACAGGCCTCTCTGCCTCCTTTAATAGAATCCCTGGGCAAAAAGATAACAAACTGGCGCACTTCCGCGCCTTGCGCATGCGTGCAGGCTGGCACCACTCAGTATGGTCCCGGGCAGCTTGCAACAGCCCGGGACCATTGCAATGTCCCAAGCCTGCTTTTGCAGGCTCGGGACACAACCCTTTCCCCCCCAGATGAAACTTAATTAAACTATATTGATAGATATACGTGACCTCAACACGAGCATGGTGTGCTATCCCTATGGAACCGCACATCTGTTGCAGCTACTTACTAGCCACACTATAACATGGTACCATGCTATTGTTTTGGAATTAAATGCCCAAGACTCGCACTTCCAAGTTCCCCAACAGCAGGCACCCTCTTCACCTCCCTTGTTTTGACAGCAATGTCACAAAATCTTCCAAGTATTTGTGAGATCTTTTAACCCTCTGTGACCTCCTCAGATTTTGAGAGCTCCCTTGATCATCCTGTGCAGAGATTGTAGTGGAGTTGCCCCCTCTTTTAAGCCCTGATGGTCCCCGTGACCTGGGTTCTGTTACCTGGTCTGCTTGCTTGCCCACCGGGCTCGACAGACCAGGACTTTGCTCCCTACTGTACATGGTTGATCTGCCTAACTGTAGGCTCTCGGGCCTCACTATGTTCTCGCCAGTATTTGGCGTTTTTGTGATACTCTCCAAGTCCACAATGGACCTATCAAGGGAATGCATCCCTTCACTCCCAAGCCCCGTAACTGGGTTGTCTGGGGTTTCTGCAGTGCCCCAGTACTCAGTTGCCCCCCATTCTATGCCAGAGGTACCAGAATCAGGATTTGCCTCTCTGACTACCTCCCTGTGTGTAGACTTCCTTTTGGAAGCAGTAGCAGCATTGGGCCAGCTTATTTGTTTGTATGCCAGTTCTCTTATGTTATTTGGGTTGTTTGGATGCTCCTGGTTATTCTCCCAGCTTGGAGTGCTGTATTGGGCTTGTGAATAATGAGTATGCCCCCTGGGTGACTCCCTGGCTGGAGTAAGTACTGGTGCCTGTATTGTTCCTTGTTCCCCTGAATTCCTGTTAGGGACACTTGCGGAACCTTGGGAAGGGCCTTCCTCCAACTCTCCGTTTGGCCCTGATTCTTGCCAACACCCTTCCCTTTGCCCACAGTGGTCCCCCTCCCCCCCGGAGAAAACCCAGGAGTTGCAGAGGGAGACTCCAGTCTCGTACACAGCTGATCAATATGCCGCTGAAGGACACGACTGTTGTTCAGGGAAACCCCATAGGACAATGGACCAGTGACCTTGCATACTACCGCCAGAACTCACAGGTGACTGGGCCCATAGTTCCGGGTCCATACCGGGGCGCCTACTTGCAGACACCTTGGTGCCCTTGGTTGGGCAACTCGAGGAGCCACCCTGTCCAGATGCAGCCTGTCAAGTTTGGTGATCAGTCTGCGCCCCCAGTGAAGTTCTGCCGGGCTCTTCCCAGTGGAAGTAGAAGGTGTGGTGCGGTAAGCAAGAAGAAAATCTGCCAACCTGTGGTGCCAGTCCCTGTAGGTCAGTTTCTTGAGAGCATCCTTGGTGATGCGAACCATCCGTTTAGCCATACCATTAATGGAAGGGTGGAATGGTGCCGAAGTTGCATGACAAATCATGTTGGCCTGCAAGAAAGCTTGAAACTCGGAAGAAATGAATTGAGGACCGTTGTCAGAAACCAGAACATCTGGAAGGCCATGTGCAGCAAAAATCCCTCTCAGTACTTGAATGGTCTTGGCAGCAGTAGTGGAAGAGACAGGAACAACCTCAAGCCACTTTGAATGGCTGTCAACAAGGACCAGAAGAATTGTCCCTGAAAGGGCCCAGCATAATCCACATGCACCCTAGACCAAGGTGACTGTGTCTCCTCCCATCTATGCACAGTAGCCTGAGGCATTTCAGGGCGTGAACGCTGGCACAAATGGCATCCATGCACTTGGGCCTCTATTTCCCTGTCTAATCCCGGCCACCATAAATGGCTGCGCGCAAGCGCTTTCATCCTGACAATGCCAGGATGAGCCTCATGGAGGGAAGCTAAGACTCTAGGTCTTAATGAGGTAGGAATAACTACTCTGCTGCCCCACAACAGGCAACCCTGAGAAGTGGATAACTCATGCTTCTTGAGCCAGAAGCTCTGGAACTCAGTACCTGGACAACTCTCAGGCCAGCCAGACAAAACCCATGACAGCACACGAGTAAGTGTGAGATCTGTAGCTAATTCAGCAGCCACATCCCTGGCAATTAGGGGAGACTCAGGCAGCGCCCGAATGGAGAGAATATTGATGGCAGGGGCAGGGTCAGCCTCTACCATTTGCAGAGGTAATCTACTTAGGCCATCAGCGTGGCCCATGTCCTTGCCAGATTTTTGAATCAATGAAAAATCATAGGCTGACAAAAAGATAGACCATCTCAGCATTCTAGGAGAGATGATATGGGGAGTTTGTTTGTTGGTGGTAAATAACCCCAACAGAGGCTTATGGTCAGTATAGACTGTGAAATGTCTGCCATATAGAAAATCATGGAATTTTTTAATTCCAGCGACAATGGCCAAGGCTTCTCTATCTATCTGAGCATAGTTTCGCTCAGCAGAGGACAAAGTTCTGGAGTAATATGCAACAGGAACCTGAGTTCTATCAGTTCTTAAATGGCTAAGTACAGCCCCCACCCCATAAGGGAAAGCATCACAAGCAATGCAGACAGGAAGGGTTTCATTAAAATGTCCAAGCATATCATTTGATGTAAGTAAGGCCTTGACCTCATTGAAACTTTTTTCACGTACTTGGGACCACTGCCACACTGCCTGCTTGTCTAAAAGCCTATGAAGTGGTTCTGCTACATTAGCCTTGTTAGGTATGAAAGCACTGTAAAAATTCAAGAGGCCTAGGAATGCTTGTAACTCAGCTTTAGACATAGGCCTAGGAGCCTGCTGTATGGCTTTTAATTTAGATTCAGCAAGGTGAATACCCCTGGCATCTATTCTGAATCCCAGGGAATCTGTAGAAGAAACTCCTATCTTGCATTTGTCTTTTTTAAGTTTTAGGCCTGTTTTTCTGAAGTGAAGCAAAACAGCCCTTAACCTCTCAGCTAAATTCTGAGTGCATTCTCCAGCAATAAGGACATCATCAAAATAGGGGCAAACCCCTGGGATACCTCTCAGGGTGTTTTCCATAACACTTTGGAAAATTCCAGGAGCTACATTTACTCCAAATTGTAGTCTCTTGACTTTGAATGCCCCCCTATGGGTTACAATAGTCTGTGCTTCAGCAGCAGCTTCATCAACAGGTAACTGTTGATAAGCCTGTGCCAGATCTAACTTTGCAAAAACACGCCCCCCTTTGAGGGAAGCCAAAATATGGCTGACTACAGGTACAGGATATGCATGCTGTTGCAATGCCTT